ACTGCCGTTTTTTGACAGTAACAAGCTTTAGACATTCATTCATTTTTTCTCATATAACAAATAGTGAAAATCTCTAAAGCTTATGTTAACCACATGCTTCATTTTAAGACAATTGACCAAAAACACATTCAAATTTGTTTTGACTTCGAGACAAAGGAACCGGAAGTGGTTAAGTCGTAACAAATTTCCCGGTTTGACATTCATTTTCAGATCAACATATATTACAATAACTACCATGGCTAAAGACTGCGATTCACTTCCATTCCTGCTTGTACCCACCGTAGATCATGTTACCTTACTAGAAATCAATGTTCTGTCATGTCATGTCTCCGTCTTGTGTCCCTGCTCAGCTACCTGGAGGACGCCGTGATGAACCTGGACCACGGCGACCCCCTGACCAGAGACCACATGTCTTCCGTGTTGGCCCAGGTCAGACCAAAGCTCTTCACCTTCCTGCAGCAGGACCCCCACAGCCCGCTCAGCAAGAGGGCGCGGCGCCTCATGATGATGCTGCAGGGCCTCGTCAGCCACTAGTCCCACCATGTAAACAGTCCTTTCCTCGTAGATACAGATAATGCGTCCATTTTCGTTACCAGATCACGTAGAAGAGAATGCAACAACTTCATCCTGCTAATTTTTTCAGAGATAAAATCTTGGTTGGAGTAGAAGACAAGGGAAGTGAAAAGACTGAGTTTGATACTTGTTGTTTGGTTTAAGAAGAACGTTCCCTCCAGTCCACCTGTCCCTATTACCAGGTCCTTCTCCCGGTACCATTAGTTCTTAACCCCCCTTCTCTACCTGCACCAGGGAAGCTTCGACTTAGGGAGCTGTTTTTGTTTTTTCTTGTCCTGGAAATACCTTCAACGCAAGACATTATTTGTCCAGACAACTCCTAAATTCACTGTAGATTCTTGCAGTACTTGGTTACCCAAGAGGCATTCTGGTTGCCTCCCCTCCTTTTATTCCCGTCAGGACATGACAGCCGGAGAGCCTAATATTTCTGCTAGTGCCCGTCTCCCAGACACATCGTACCGGACACTCCCTTTGATGCCTCTTCCTTCAAATGTGCAAAAGACTCAAAGAATGTTCAGCTGAGTGGTCAACAAGACCAAACGTCGCTCTTTCTTTTAGTTTTTCGGGTTTTTCTGACCCGTCAGTCAGGCATGTTGAGTTTTGGAATACACGTTTTAATGCAGGGTCTGCGTCTGGGCTAGAGGAGGAACAAAAGTACCTCAAGAAGACATGTTTCGCCTCAAAATGTAAGCCTGCTGTTTTGGAAAAACAGCAGGCTTGAACATGTTTTTTTTCTTTTATAATACAGACCAGCATCTTTTCTTAAGCCAACTTGGAATCCAGTACTCTGTTCTCAGTTCAGGTTCTTTCTAAACATCTAAGTAAATCCCGGCTACCGAAAATATGTAACATTCAAAGCCATTTCCTGTTTGTGGCATATTTCCTTTCAGTTATTTCTTAATAGGGTTGGAGACAACAACCTCGCCTGGCCAAATCTGTCTGAGTGCTTTGAAGAGGATCAACACGCTAAATAGTTTTACTGAAAGTTGATTTAAGTTATTCCTGTGTCTGTATTCAGGAAGAAAAGCATCTTTCTTTTACCAATCTGGCCTTGTTTTCAAAAATCCTTCTAATAGGGCTTTCTGAAGGATACAAATAAAAAAAATTCTAAATGTGAAAAATATGTGTGATGGTCTTCGGAAGCTGAAAAGGATTCTGCTTGTTTGGAGCCCATCATGTAGTGAGACAGCCGTCCATGTGTAAATTGATTTTCCCCCCTCGTATGCCTGCCCCTTTTTTATATAATCATTTAGCATTTGTAAGACTTGTATACTTGCTTTAAAAGTTGTCAACAATAATTATACCACATAATACAACACTTCCTAAACATAATTGTTAATGCTGATGTTGTTTCATCAGGCTTCTCCAGACCATGTTGATGTGCAGTTACTTCCCATAGACTGTAGGAGGCAGCACTTAGTTGGATTTTGTCATTTGGGTTCTGAATTCAGAAATCATTCCTGCTCCCAAACAGTGCAACTCTGCACATGTTTGTTTATCTTTAAAGTTTGTTCAAAGTGTATGATAATGTGTACAGCCCATTTACACACATTCTTGTTTAGATACACACAGTTTTTGCTGATTGTAAAATGAAAGTTCTGTTCATTTGAACCTCTGTGTTTAGAATTTGGATTTGTCTAGCAAGTGCCTTATTGTATTTTACATGTTTTACCTAAACATTTGATCCCATTTGGGCCTTTAGACATGTTTGAGCATTATCCCACAGCAGCTCCTTTATACTTTAACAAGCATTTACGGCGTTAAAATGTTGGATCTGAAGAAAGGCTCAGCACAGGAGAATCTGTATGTTTTGTTTGCAGACATTGGACTACCTAGACAGCCGATTCGGACATATATTTGAATGATCATGCAACAGAGAGGTACTTTTTGACGACTGCCACCCTCACCTTCAGTTCAGTTCCGGTTATTGTCCTCACAATGAAGGACGGGTTGTGTTACCCCGAGTGGGAGCTGTGTGAGAAACAACCGAGGCTAGGGAGTATGTTATAATTTCCATTCTGTTCACTTGCCCTCTGCTTGTATGATTATGTTGTATCTTTTACAGTTTATTTTACCCTAAAGATTTTTGGAATAAAAAAAGACTTGTTCACGTTATTGCGTCTTTATTCGTTTGGTTGTTTGTTCTGTACTTCTACATACCCTAACCCTTAATACATACGGGAATGACTTTACCACATTTTATTAAGAAAATAAATGTGTTCGTCTTATCGTGGCCAAAATATTCACAATTCACAATGTTATAAGTCTTCTGAAAATACTCTTATTATAATTTTGCTTAGTGTCTTTTAGAAAAAAATATCTAATGTAGGAAATGTTGTTTTTAGTCAACATAATTTAAAGAGAACAATAACAGGAAATAAAGGAATAATAACAAATAAAAAAAGCCCATATGCATAAATACATAAACAAGTCTGTTCAGTTCTACATTAGAAGCACTTTATGTATTACTTTTTACCATGATGGCGAGCAAGAAAGCTCCTTTTACTCACTTCCGAGAATACTCTCATTTGTCTAGATCAGGGGTGGGGAACCTCCGGGGTGTATACGGACCGCGAGACTATTTGGTACGGCCCTCGAGGTCATTTATAAACACGCAAAAAAGAAAAAAATTAAAGAAATCTAGACCGCAAAATAATTAAACAAGCGAGTGTGCCTGTTTTTCCTGGCTAAAGTCAGGGTCCTTGAACACAACGAGCCTTACGTGTCATCACGTGGTATATGTCTCGTCTGAGTTCTGACCTATTATACATCCATGGTTCTGACGGAGAGCACCAGAACGCCGCCAGGCACTTCAGATAAGGAGCCGCAGTTTCTGCGTGGCTGTGTCTTTAGTTGAAAGCCCAGTGGCGATCTGTTCATCTGTCATACTGATCATACAGTCAATAACTTTGTTGTTATTAGCATCTGGTTAGCTAGCTATGCTAACGAATATAAGAAGCTTTTTCTACAACCAGTGAGGTAAAGGCACATCTTTATATGATCATTATAGTTATAAAAAAACAAGAGAATAGTAAACAGGTATAAAATACTATGACAGTAAAAACAAGTTATTATTAATAAACAAGAAAACTGTTTAAAATATCTATAAAGAAAAAGAAAATCTGCTTTCAGTTCTGTTTCAAATGGGTGTTGAGAGATGTATCCAGATCTCTTAATGTTGCTCTCAAAGTGCACCAGATTGATGCTTTTAACTTCAACATTTGCATGCCCCCGGACCCCCCTAAAGGAGGTTAAGTCCACCCCCCCCCCCCCCCCCCACTTAAATCATGTCCACATGGATAGGAAACTAAATACATTTGCACATCTTGTGTCCATATCTTTCTGTTTGGGTGGTCATGCCACAACCGGGTGTGCACGTGCATGCATGCGCGAGTCATGGTAAAATATCTGGATTAAGAGGTTGCTTTTTCTTTGCACAGAATGAAAGAAAGGCCAAATGCTGTGATTTTAGTATTTTTAAGCAGAGGTCAATCATTTGTAGGGCCCTCGGAGGATGTTGAAAAAATTGAAATGGCCCTTGAGAGGAAAAAGGTTCCCCACCCCTGGTCTAGATAATGGAAGATCACCACAATCAATTTATTGTATTTATCTGAATCATCCCATCCATAATGGAGACCCGCCTTGCTATGTTAACTTCTATGTGGTTGGAAAGAAACATCTACACAGAGTTGATGTTGTACTTTGACTTTTGGACTACATCTCAGAGGAAAACCATGTATGCCACTTCATTTAAAAGAAAAAAAAATTAGGCCTTTGTTCCTTTTCTAAAATGTCAGTGTCTGTGGGGACCTCTGTCTATATGTGTTTGTATTTCTACCAAAGACACATTTGTCCCGATTTTGAAGGCTCAAAAAGGTCAAATTATTAAATATAAAAACAGAGAGTCATTTAGCAGAACTCCTTTTCCTCTTCCATTAATCATAAACATTTATTTTTTTAAGCATCTACAGGCCCCAAGGCCCTAGATTAGAAACCACAGAATAACACATATTTGCATAGCACCATATAGTTTGGTCGTAATACTGTAACTATATTTTTTAACTCAATTTCCCATTGTGCATCAATGATGGAAAATGAGCAACCAGTTTTCTCAACATAATTTAAACATCATTTAAGTTTTAAACTATAATTAATTGTAATATTAGTTTATTATCATTATTGATAAATTGCCTGGTATTTATATGGTACGGATCTCTTCTTTAATCCGGTTTGACAACTGTTCGTGTGACAGCAGTTGTGTTTTAGTTGATTGTTATGTGTGTACCTGCTAAGGGACTGCATTTTCCTTATCTGATAAAGCGCTCTTTGGGGATTCTCTGCGCACGCATAGCTGTTTCTCCTCCTCCTCCCCCCTTCCCCCCCCCCCCCCCCCCCCCCCCCCCCCCCCCCGGCAGGGAGGATGAGCGCACAGTGGATCTCTCACGCTGGAGTACAGAGCTGCAGCGCGGACAGGAGGGAGCTGTGACCGGCACCGAGCAGCGGGACAGTGCGCGCTGCCTTTCTTTTGGAAACAACCACTTTTAGGATCCCGGTGAAACTTGTGAGGAAGACTCCACGGATCAGCATGACATCTCTCACCAACTCCGCGTGCCTCCTCTTCTTGCCTGTTGCTCTGCTCCTGAGTAAGTACTATTTGAGGAATTCTGCTTCATTTCTGAGCAATGCACAATTTACGCTGCAGTATTGGAAATGTTTGGAGTAGTTGTGCGTAAACCGGAGAACACGGATGCAGATCCAGACTTTTACTTAATTGTATTTGTAATAAGATAGTGTTTTGTTAAACCCCATCTTCTGGACTTGTCTTTGCCCTGCTTCAGTTAGAGCAGGGGTGTCAAACTCAAGGCCCGGGGGCCAAATCCGGCCCGCGACTTCATTTTATGTGGCCCCGCAAGAGCTTGCAAAGATTATAATACGCTTATTATACGGTTACATGCCACTTTACAGAAGCAGGTTGCCCATACACTACATGTCCCACAATGCATCTCGTTTTGTGTGATGCGCACTGAAGACACTTGCAATTATTTGCCCTAGTCTTCTGCTTTCAGACGTAGTTAATTTGGAAGTTATTACCCTATCCAATAATAATCCAATTCAGAGGCAATAATGTAATATAATACATTATTTTATATATATTATACATTTATATATGTATATTTATATAGTTACAACCGGCCCTTTGAGTGCAACCATATACTAATGTGGCCCGCGATGAAATTGAGTTTGACACCCCTGAGTTAGAGGGTCCCGTTGTATCTCCCGTTTATCTCCAGCATCCAGTGGAACACGCCTGAATGTTGTGAATGCAGCATGCAAACTGTTTTGTGTGAGAGTGGACTATAATTCAATTTCCCCCAGTCTTAATGCATTTGCTCAACGAGGTAACTTGTTGTACATAATTATTACTAACTGCAACTGGCAAATAAAGGGAACCCTCAATCAGTCAGACTGATAGTGGAGTTACCGCTTGATTCCCACCCTGCAAGTAAAGTCAATGCAATGAATTGTTAATTAAAGTAAGGTGAGTTCAATTAAAATGGAACTCTAGCAATTTTGTAATGCAGTTTTTTCATGTTAGGGAAAATACAAGAGACAGATTGTTTTGAAGATAGGTCAAAATCAGTGCAGCAGATGGAGGATTGTCTGACTCTGAGTAACTAGAACGCAGCAGTTTTTTTAATCGTTTGCTATTCATTTCAAGTACAACGTAACGTTGAGTATGTAATGCATTTAAAGTGCATTGTATGTGAATTGTGTGTACTCGAGACTTGCCCTGATTTGAGCTCATTGGACATTCTGAACCCCTGACATGATTTTCTTCTGGATACCTTTAGAACAGTAATGTGAGCTTTTGGGCTAGGATAAAAGCTGTTAGTTATATATTTTTTGTTTTTAAGTAAAAAAGTAACCATTACTTTTTTCATTACTTGGTCAGATTATCCAAATAATGACTTTTTGGACATTTGCTGCAACGTTTTGGGGATGTAGAAGAGCCGCTGGGTGGCTTTCTTGAAACTTGCCCAGCCGTCATTCATATGATATGTATTGCTTTTGTATACTTACATGTGAATAGCCTGTTAGTTAACTCCTACTTAATTGGTCCTTTGGTCTGCAGTTGGCTGTACATACTAATTGAGGAAGTATGCAGTGTACTCTGCAGTATGTAGTTCCCATTATATGCAGTAGGTTTGCATTTTTTACTATGCAGCAGGTAGTATGCAATGTTTAGGATGTAGTATGGAGCATGTTCTATGTAGTATTCAGTATGTAGTACACTACACAGTTTGTAGTGTGCAGTATGCAGTAATGTGCCAATTTTAACACAGCCTGGGTCCAGCTCTAAAAACACTATCAATCAATTCAATTAGATTGTTATAGCCCAATATCACAAATGTTACATTTGTCTCGTTTAAAAAAAAAGAAGTTTATATAGAATATCAATATAATACATTTCTTCAACCTACATTTCCCATAAATGCAACTTGATATACCTTTTCATTAGGCTGTCCGTCTATCCAACTCCATGCTCACAGTTTGTAACAAAGAATGTGTTTAAAAAACGTGTTTTCTCTAAGCCTAGGTAACCCTGGTTACCTCGCTTTGACATCTTCAGGGTTATTTTTTCTGTAAGCTGACTTTGAGTTGTCTGATATAATGCACTAAAGTACTGACTTGGTGATGAAACCATATAAATTCCATTCCAAACCAGAGTATGTGTTATAAATGTCATCGTCATCATTGATCGTCATCCAATGCTGCTGCGGATGTCAGAGCAATGAGGATGGGGGCGGAGGATGGGGGTCCCATGGGGGAGGGACACCATGGGGGTAGGGAAACAAAGTCTTACCGATGGAGAAAAATGATGAATGATTCACATCTGTCCCTCTCCTATGCTCTGGAAAGTCTCTGGAGATTTTGTTCATCCGCACATCTGAACCTGACTGGGAAACATTCCTCATGCATTCAGTCCCTCAGTCATGTGACTGACACATGGGGAAATCTGAGGCTAGTTATGAAATGATATTGGCTGATATTCTTACATTACTCTTCATTACTCTTTCATTGTTACTCTCCAAACTGTGAGTGTGTGTACGTTGATGTGTAGTTAATGTCCCTATGAGCAGAGCTTCCTGTCACCTTTGACTCAGACTATCATCTGTCACACTTTCTTAAAATACCTCGTCTTAAGATCAAAAATCTGTAAGAACATCATCTTCAATGCTTCAAATACACTGACAAACATCTTAAAACATACATTGGAAATGATTAATAATATTCTATAATTAGGACCAGTATTTTTAGCTGCCTTTGATCACTATGGATCTTTACAACACAGCTTATATTTCTATATAAGAGTTAGCATGTGTAGAAAGTGTTTTTTAATGTTTTATGTAGGTACCTATTCCCGTGGGAGGAATTCAGAAATATGTATACAAGATTCTACAACTGCAAAAAACATTTTCTAAAGTGTTTTTCAAAAGGAAAAAATAAGGTGTAAAGCAGAAGAGTGAGCATGTAGTAAATGTAATCTGCTCAATGCACACATCTGTAATCTGCTCAATGCACACATCTGTAATCTGCTCAATGCACACATCTGTAATCTGCTCAATGCACACATCTGTAATCTGCTCAATGCACACATCTGTAATCTGCTCAATGCACACATCTACATGCATTTTAATAATGCGTTTTCATCATGGTTTTTAGGTGTCTTCAGAAAAAACTATTAAATGACATGCTGTTTACATCATTACCAAAACAACTTTGAATTCCAAACAATAGGCCTTTTTTTCACAAGTAATATTTTGACTAGTCACAATAGTAAAAGCTCAGGTGTGAACAATAACACCAACGATGATTTCTTGGTTTCAGGGTCCTGGTATTGTGCATGCTGGATCACTGTCACTCTGTCATGGCTTACTAGAACACATGATTAGAATCCAGAATCTCATAATAAGCTTACACTATTTGAAAGGATAGAAGACATTCAGAGGCCCAATTATCTGAAACCCCAATAGTCAGAGAAATATACGACTGAAAGCTCATTTATTCAGAAAACAAACATTCTGAAGGGACATTCTGAAATACTAATCCCAAATGCAACAAACAGAAGCACATGGCTAATATTATAGAGAAGGACCTTCCTCCGTTTTGTTTTAACTATGGTAAAGGCATGATCGTCTAACTGCCTTTGATTGACTAAAACTTGTTGCCTTTGTTGGTTGGGTTGGTTAGGTTAAGGCAGAGGTGTCAAACTCAAGGCCCGGGGACCAAATCCGGCCCGCGACTTCATTTTATGTGGCCCCGCATGAGTTTGCAAAGAATATAATATGTTTATTATACAGTTACATGCCACTTTACAGAAGCAGGTTGCCCATAAACTACATGTCCCACAATGCATCTCGTTTTGTGACATGCCCACTCGCAATGATTTGCCCTAGACTTCTCCTTTCAGACGTAGTTAATTACTAAATTATTATCCTATCCGATAATAATCCAATTCAGAGGCAAAAATGTAATATAATACATTATTTTATATATATATTTATATATGTATATTTATATAGTTACAACCGGCCCTTTGAGTGCAACCATAATGCTAGGCCCGCGATAAAATTGAGTTTGACACCCCTGGGTTAAGGCATGAAGAGTGCCATCAATTAGGGTCATGGTTAAAGTGGGATTATCAGGGTGAATCAAATGCAAAGTGTTATGTGTTTGCTATATTATGACTGAAAAAGCATGGCTGAAAGGTCTGATGACGTCTTTCTGCACCATAATAAGCAATATGCGTCTTCTTGGACGAATGTTCTTTTGGTTGATTTGGATTTTTTTCATTTTCTTGGATTTCAGATTATTGGGCACCATTTTAGTTTAGCATGTTAGCATGCGAAAATTCGTTTTCTTAAGCAACTTCTACTTTGATTGTTTTACACAATTAAACAAAAAAGTTAAAGTAAAATAAAACATGTTTACACAATATTTAATGAGCTTCATTTACTGCAATTCTTTCACACACAGTGACGTCACGAGCTACCCACAATGCAACACGCGCCATATATATATAAATACGCCATTTTCCTGGAGGTGCAAATATCCTGGAAGTGCAAATATAAACAGCTAGCTAACGTAGCCAGGCAGAGCGCACTAGATTTTTTTTTTTAATTAACGACCGAAGAAATCGCTGCATGTCTTCGGATTACATCTCTGGATTTGAGGGGTGTGCTCTAGGTCGTTACCAGCGTAAACTAGAGCTGTGTGGGTTGTTGGATTGCCCTTACAGACTGCCTGCAGATGTATGGAAAAACGACAGTGGCCTTCGTCGATTTTGGCTGCATCTACATCTAATTTCTGGAAACACCAGGTGAATACCCCACTTGTCACAATAATATTATCATGCCATTGCATATATGTGGTATTTTAGAGTTGACTAGATATTGATTAAGGCAATAGACTATGATATTCAGTACAGGAAGCTTAGCAACACCTAGACGGTGTACGGCTGCTTGCACCTCGCGTAAAACGGCGGATACCGGAAGTACGGTGTCGCGCTCGGCCCAATACCCGTATGTGTGTGTGAAAGAATGCAACCTTTTTAAGTTTAAGAATCAAGCTAGTTGTTATC